TTTAGTCGTTTAAAGGTTAAGGTACATGTGTAGTTGTCACTTGTCACCTCACCAGTTAGTTATGTACATGCAAGAGCCCTTAACAACAAGCAGAATAATCCAGTAGTTAAGGGTGGAACTGAAGACTACTGTCTTCTGGTGTGTGGTACTGTGTGGCATGGGAAGTGGGTACAAATTTTTTGGAACAACCTGCTGCTGCCATCTGTAGGGCAGCCTGAAGATGGAGGCGGCACATTCTTCCGAAGTATTTATGCCTGTTCACGAAACAACATGGCATCACATCCCAGAATATTGTAATTTTTTCTTGTTGAATTCTTTAGATGAAATTAAATTTGTGCTGTACTGTAAATACTTGTATTTTGTATTGATAATGCTGTTTCGTTGCCCATGGGACGCATTGTGTACTTTGAATTATATGAGAGCCCTGTACTGGAAGAAAGTTCACCATTTCCATCCCTTTGTTTTAAGCATATACACAATAAATAGGTCACAAATGGATATAAAATGTAAAACATGTGATATTCAAACCTGGAAAAAACATTTATTTCTCAACATATACTCCTCCAACACTGATGCACTTGTCCTGTCGATTTACCAGTGCATTGAAACTAACAGTATAGAAGTCTTTTGAGTGTTGTCTGCATCTCTGTTTCAATCTGTTCGCCATCAGTGAAACATTCGTCACCCAGTTGTGAACCACTTTACATGACAAACACTTCCTGCCGTAAACAGGAAACATATTTTATGAATATCCTTGCATTGAGTTCTTTTGCCCAGGAAAAAAAATTCACAACAGAATGCTGCTCTTCAGTAGTACAGCCTCAAACAAGGTGATTATTTTGACTGCTGAAACCAGCCGCCAAACATGTGCATGCATACCTGCTACATAGACTGATATGAAGCTGGACTACTCTGCTACCTAGCGATACACTTAGAAAACCTATTACATCCATTACAACTGTTCTACTTCCATTTGTGACTTATTTACTGACTCTCATATTGTTCATACAGTGGAACCCCCATTTAATATTCTTTGAATTAAGGTTTCCATAATTTAATGTCCAATTTCAGTGATCCCAAATCAGTAACCTCAGTTTTAAACTTTTCATATAATATTTTCCTCGGTTCAGATCCATTGGTACTCAAATAAACCTGGAAACTGAGTTTTGCTGTATTTATTCCAAACCATTAGGTCATTTACTTTAAGTCGCATACTTAATAAACAGTAGGGTATGAAATATGGTATGTAAGCTTTAAAATTGAGGTCCCATTTGGTGAAAGTTTGGCTCCTTTTAATGAAAGAATATTCTCCTACTGGCTGATAGATTTCATGCTTGAGAAGCAGCACAGTTCAGAATATGCCTTAAGAGAATCGACTTTTCATTCGATCAGCTGCTGGATGACACACAGTATAGATCTAACATATTTAGTTCATAAGAATTCCCCAAGGCAGAGGTAGGTTTGTATGGTAACAAGCGCACCAAGTGTTGAAATAGAAAGCCAAAGAATTCAAATGTATTACAACTCCTGCAGCATGTTCAAAGTGGGACAGTGAATATATGAAATGATAGCCTGAAATTTCCTCTTTAATTTCATACCAAAAGAATTACTTTACATGAAAAACTGCGGTTCAAAATATGAGCTGAAACTTAGAGCTGCACTACGCGTGCCCTGCACCGACCCCGGCGGTGTGTGACAGAAACTGCTAGCGTACAGTGCACCGAGCCCGGAACTGAAGGGTTAAGTATGCCACATGTTATTGAAATTTTCTAATATGGATTCATATTAGTGTTAGATCATCATAATTATTGTAATTATTACTAAAATTGCAAAAGATATTTTAAGTTTTCAAAAATTCTCTTGTCATTACAATGTAAAATTCTGTGTTGTCACATTTGTAGGTGGTTTTTATCTTCCGGGGTCCACTGTAGGGTTTTATATGTTTTTGGTACTATTCATGTATAATATTAGTAGTTTGTTATATGTGTTTCCTCTTGCGTTCTTGAATATGATGTCATGATCAAGTCTTTTTCACTTCCTAGAGTGTGCGGAGTACTTCTTATCATATGGACATTTGTTTTTATGTTGTTCCAGTTCCTAGTTATTCCTGGATATTTCAGTAACATGTGGTGTATTTGATGAAACTGCCTGAGGATGGTCCAAAATGTAGACCAGAACATGTAGCAGTTATTAAATAAAGCCAATGTAAACAACTGGATTGGTTTATTTTGAAATATATGTTGTGTTGATGGCCAGAATATCAGAAATTATTATGTATTTTGTTTTGAGTATATATTGGAATCACTGTTCTTGAACAATGGTCAGAGAAGGTTAGTTGTTCTTTATCCTAATTCGTTTCCATACTCTGTTAACAGCGCTACCGCACACCTTCACGCAGCCGCTCACGCAGCGCCACCCCTCCGCACTGGAAGCAAGCACAGAACCGCACCATCAAGCTCAGTGAATATGAGGCAAGTTCTAATTGTGTTCAGTGCCAGGATGGCTTAACATTACATGCTTTCATCTACGTGAACACCAGACATTTGTGGTGTTCACATTGATGGGGCTTCTGGTGGCTTTGAAAAATGTCTCTCAATTTGATAAAGTAATGTTGTGAAGATACAGCTCATGACTTCCCATTAAGGCAATGTACGTAAATAACAAAACACTTCATACTTGAAGAATACAATCTTATGGATTGTAATTCATTATAAAGCAGTGATACCCTGACGTTTCAGATGAATATAACACCATCATCAGGTTGAGAGAGGAAGTACTTAGCTTGTGAGCTCCTTCTGCTGGTTTCTTGCTTGTCCTCCTCCTCGACCCTGACATGGGTGACGTGTTCCTCTGAAGTGTTGAGCTCTCCACAGTGTTACAACCCAGGAGACTGTACACTTCATAGTCACTGCTGTGAGAAACTAAAACCTGCTTATTTAAATGTATATCAGTAACAGACGGCACCCACTATGATCTGCATTATAGGTACAGGTTAGGTTAAATGAGTTAAAAAAGTAGGGGTTAAGCAGCCCCTGCACCATAACCATGAATATTCTGTGTCCCTCTTCTAAGTCTAGCCCTTTGCAGTCCTTCACTGGAAAAAACTGAAACACTGTACCTGGCATAATAGAGCCACTGAATAGTCATTTGGCTTCATGAAGCAGAGCCCCAAGTGATAGAACGTCCGAGTCACACAAGCTGGGCGAGGCTGGTTCATCTTTGTTATGGCGCATTTCACAGGTGGGGGCTGCATACCAGTCCCAGTCTGAAAGTGTGTTCATGCAAGTGACAGTGCCCTGTAAATAGTCTTGCCCACGTCTCAACTGTAGACATAAATTTTGCAGTTGCCTGTTTTAATTTCAGAAGTTAGAACGTGAGCGTAAGAAGAGAGAGGAGGAGATAAAGCGGAGAGAAGAGGAGAGAAAGAAAAGACACATGGAGAAGGAACAGCAAAGGTTAGAAGCAGAAGCAAAGAGAGGACACAAAGAACATGGCAAGGAGAGAGAAAAGGGGCAAGTCTTTAACTATTCATGATTTTCATGTAATGGCATATAGTTTGGGTTTGTTTAATCTTGTGATGATTGCAGAGCCAGCCATGTGCACTCGCACATGTCCAGTGTTGTATGGAATTTAATATGAACTTATAACCACCACTTTGCTTCAAAACCAAGCTTGTAAAGTTATCCCTGTGCTTAATTAAGCACCAGACCATGATGTATGGGGGAGAGGAAGTATGGTCTCATATGTTCTTAACCTTGCAAGCAGATGGAAGTGGAGAGCTTCACTCTCCAGCTGTCTTACCCACGCTGAAAGAGCCTCCAGTAGCCATTGGCTGGGAGGCCGAGTAGGCCCCAGAGTTAATTTGAACCCTGTGGGGAAAAGAGATTTTTTACACCTGTCAGGAATTGAATCCAGATTCCTCAGTCATCCATCCTGTAGCCTGTTCCCTGTACTGACTGAGCTACCCAGTTATAATCTATGATATCTCAAGGTTCGTTCTTCAGTGCAAGACTGTACTGAATTCAGTGACTGGAAGTTGTGATGGTTAAAAATTACTGTCTTCATGGATGTCTAGTCTGCTAGATATTTACATTAGTGATCCTGTACGGGGAGGCCAATTTAATTTGAATTACACGGTGATCTTCATAGTCACTGCCATGAGAGCCCATACTGCACGTAATCGTTGATTTGGTATGAAATGAGACGTCAAGCAAATTACTCCACAGTGTCTTCTGCCTTCATGGATAAGGCCCTTTGGCCTATGCCCATTCAGAATTAATTAATTCTGAAATTTGGATCTTGCAGACAGTTGGTAGGATTCCTTGGATGGGTGATCAGCCTGTCGCAGGGTTGCTACCTACACAGGACAACACATACACAGACTAAACGCAGACATATCCATTCCTTGAGTTTGATTTGAACCCATGATCCCAGTATTTGAGCACGCGAACATATTTTATGCCTTAGACCATGCAGCTGCTTTGATTGGCCACTTCACAGTGTTTTGTGTATATTGACCAGCAGTTTATACTGCTGTATCCAAGTTGTAATGTGAACTGCTCATATCATATTGTCACAGGATAGTGACAAGACACAGGGTTTGGTAATTGGTAATTGGATATAACTATCATAACTCATAACTACAAGTGACTCTTAACAGCTTCACTGATTTCTTCACTTTACATGTCACTACAGCACATGCTAAGTCTTTCCTGTAGTTGCCTGGTAACAGATCCCACCACTGTCCTCTGCTTCCATGCTCATGTCATTACTGGCTAGCGACTCTCTGGCACCTAACCCATGACAGCAACGCACTTTCTCGACAAACTCACTTTTCCCTCTGCATCTTGCTGTATCACCTAAGCACAAACTGCATAGAAAACTCCAATTCCAACAGTTCCTCTGTTGTTGCTTGCGTGTCCATTGCCAAGATGTGTTTATTGGCCGTTACCTAGCATTGGCTCCAGCATTCCAGTCTTTCAGCTGCCATGTAAGAATATCATTGCAGGCCAGAAGATGCTGATGTAGAGACTTCGGAACAACTTGTTCAGGAGGAGGAAGAAGAGGGCGAGGCAGAGGATGAAGATGTTGGAGAAGGTGGTGAGAAAGGTCCAGTAGATTACAATGCTTTGGATTATGAAACAATGGATGGAGCTGGTTCTGAAAAGGATGAAGACAAATTGGTTAAAAATAATACAGTCACTGCTGTGGCAAAGAAGCCAGAGCCTGAAGCTGCACCAACAGGAAATGGTGCTGTTGAGGAAGAATTGGTAACCAAGATCATTGCAAAGGAAAAATCACAAGGTTTGTTATTACAGTTTTATAAATTTTGCGTCATGTTTGTGTAAAAATTGTATATCTGTATAACATTACGGAAACTACGTACGAGGGGGGACCCAAAAATAACCGGAAACGACCTGTTGCGCGAGCGTGCTTTGTAGTTACGAGTTGTGCTGCTAGGTGGTGTTAGCTGGGGGTCTCCCGCGACTGTTAGTGAGCTGGCGTCAGTCTGAGTTAAGTGGTTTGTCTGTGGTGCTCTGTTGTGTGCGTTCCTGTTTCAACCCTTTGGCGATTAGTGAGATGGCTGACCAGAAGGAACAA